TAATAATAATAATAATAATAATAATAATAATAATAATAATAATAATAATAATAATAATAATAATAATAATAATAATAATAATAATAATAATAATATGCATTTATTAAGATGGTAATGACGAATAGGATGATGGATTGTATTTTGAAGTGCAATTTAGTAGGAGTGATGATAGAATTTTTAGTCGGTGTAGCACAAAGTTCCAGGCCCTTCGCGTCACTGCGGTAATACCATTGATTTGCGGTAATCGATATTGCAGCTGATGATACTCCATGAACTGTAAAACTATTGAGACTTGGAGTAACGGTACTCGGTGGATAATGTTACGGACGTGGTTATAACTTGGTAATTGGAAACTAGTTTCACGTAACTTTTGATACGAACGATTTCGCACTGTGCATTTGATATTCTCAAGTCGGCAACATTTAGAGCTCTGTTTATTTTCCGACGTGAAATTGAGTGGATTTGATGACTAAAGCGTCGAAGACACGTTTCAATCATCACTAGATTGAGCGAGCGTTTAATTGAGATTTGTTAATTAAGGATCTTGTTTCACTGGGTCGGGGGAAGAAGTTGTCTGGATTTCTCAAGTCAAGACGAGGTGGAATTGGTGAATCGTTTCACAGGAGATTCGCGGGAATATGAATACAGATATGCATTTAATATTGCATCGCTATATGCAGCCACATGCCACCGAGTGCACATGTCCGGGAATGAAACAACTTTCTGCAACGAGTCACTTACCCACTGGCATAAATTAACCACTTATTATTATGGCAACAATGTGTTATCATGGATGCCGGTAAATGAGAATGATTTTTTCACTCGGGTGCAATCGGAGGAAAGGAAAAGTGTGTGAAGCCAATCAATTGATTTCTGCCTGTTATAATCCTCAAGAAGTCAGAGAATTTTCATTGGCTTTTTTGATCATTAATTTTTGATAATAATTATTATTATCCATTGACAGTCGGTGAAAAAAACTGGACGACTGGTAATAGCTCACGAGGCACCTCTGACTAACGGATTCGGTGGTGAAATTGCAGCTACCGTTCAGGTATTGTACCTCCATAAATAGCTACAATAGCATTCTCTCGAGTGATTGAAAATTCACAGATACGATATCGAACCGTTCACCATGAGCGATACCTTCATATATTGTAATGTTATTCGACTCTATCGTTTCTCTTATCAAGGACATACAAGGATCACGCACCTTTTCCTTATCCGATTTCTTTCCTCCGATCTCCTTTCATCCGATTACCCAGATAAACAGGCGTGCAGTGAAAAAAAAATTTCTTGTTTTCAGCATATTCGCTTCATTCTACCATTCTATCTTATAATTAAAATAATACAAAAATACTTGATTTTGTAAGAATCAAAAATGATTCTGGAATTCGATGTTAATGGAAAAAATCATGGAATTTCAAATTTTATTGAAAATTCAAGGCAATTTGGCAGTGAATTTTCGTATTGATTGGAAATTTGAGTAAATTAGAGAATTTTCATTTTCATACCTTGAAATTCTGGAATTTCACTGAATTCCCAGCATTTTCAATAACTCAGAAATTGCTTTCAAATTGATACAAGTTCCCAAAAATTTCCTCTCGGTTTGTTAACAGTTACAATTTTTGTTCAATGTCTAGAACAACGCAACTCGCGTAAAAAATGATGAATAGATAGCCTAAAGTAAGTTTTAATAATTGAAAAATGAATTTTGAAGTCTTTCGAAAGGGTAAGTGACTCATGAGTGATTCTTAGCATTTCATAAGTTTGAAATTCTAAATGTAATTATTGTGAGTACATAAAATTACTAATGATTTCAGGAGGAATGCTTTCTGCATCTTGAGGCACCGATTCAGAGGGTCACTGGTTGGGACACACCCTTTCCTCACGTTTTCGAGCCTTTCTATCTTCCAGACAAGTGGCGCTGCTTCGATGCCATCAAAAAGATCCTAAAATACTAGCGTTTCATTGAACCGCTACTTATTTGTTTTTCTCCCTTTGAACCTATTAATACAGTTACACGTGTCACGTTTTATTCACGTGTTCACAACCGGTATGACCGAGCAAGAAAATGATTTCAACGACGCGCATGGCAACCAACTTGCAGATCTGGTCTGTGCTCCTGTAGGTAATTTTATCCATACGTGATTTATCGAGACCGCAGGATCTCTCAAAGCACTAGATCACTTATTTCGTTATTATTATCTTCTGAAATTTTCAGTCATTATTTCTCCGCAAGTTAAGGGCACAATCTGTCCATTGATCTCGTGGAATTTCAAGAATAAAACAGTTCAATTGAATCTTTCCTCACGTCTATCACATTTTTCCCCAGCGATCGTTATGCTTCCCACAAGTGCTTTGTAGTTCAGAAGTAAAAGATAACAATCGACAGGTAAGTTTTTCATGAATACCTATGACTTTAAGAAAACTAGCGAGTATTCAAATTTTTCTATTAACCTTTTTTGTATCGCTCGTTTCATTCTACAGACAAAGCTCCTAAGAAAAATTCAGTGTCTCTCTAGATTCCGAGGTATTCCTCAATTTTTGAACATGTTTATAAATAAAAAAATTGCCTCCTTGAAAAAATGATGATAATTATTAATTCTTATTGAATCTTACTGCATTATTGGCCAAGTGGGGAAACGGCAATGTAACGGCAGTTGAATATTACTAGGCAAAAATTAAAGAGAAATGGGCAAAACGATTTTGTAAGAGCCCACGTGTGTTTACGTACTCAAGCATGTGTATTCATGTGTTTTCAGATATGACGATAATGGAGATAAAGCAGAATAAATATCTCTCTAGAATATCTCCCACTCTCCTTTGTATCGTCGTTAATTTTTAATGATAAATTCTGAAATACTGTATTTATATAACAGCTATATTGACGCACGAAGGATTCTCCTTTCATTTTCATTTCATCTCTTACTTTTTTTTTGTTTTCCTTTTATTCGTCATTAAGTCTTCCTTTCACTCACCTTTCCCTCACTGAAGACAGGAAAAAAAGAAAACACGTGTTATCGGTTACCGTTGAAAGTCGATCGGTGGTTGAATCAGTGCATCATCCGGTCGGCCGATTTTTTGAAATAAGAGAACGTGGATAATTTATGTGGAAATGGCCTTCGATTGAATTGGGCCAGGGTCAGGGACTTATTTCAATCCATTTCTTCAGAATCGCGCCAATCATCCGGCTCTTAAAACGACACACAACGTAAAAATCACTCCTGATTGATGAAATCATTGCGTTTTTGAGAAATGAATTCAGTGGTGGAGATAAATTGAACTTTAAATGCTTTTCAATAATCAATTTATCAATATCAATATCAATAAAATCAGAGAGAAAAGGTCCTTGTATTTTTGTACTTTGTCCTAAAGTCAGAATTACACTCAGGAAAATGACGATGAAAATAAAAATTTGAATTTAGAAGTGTTTATTTGAAATTTATCTCGTACCGGCGGGAAGCATTGATGTCTGGTTCATGAAGACGCCAGATCATTAATACAGGTGATCATGGAAATGGTAGAAATTATTTGATAAATGGATCGCTTGGATTTTCGTTTGCCTTCATTTTTTCCCATCTTTTGCTACTTGAAGTGCGATATGTCGTGCTCCCGGGTGTATTTTGTAATTTGAAAGGGAAACCACATTCTTCAACTTCGTATTATGATACGTGAAAGTTGGCAGGATTGACGCACATGGGGATACGAAACGGATGAACGTACATCAGGGAATATGAATAAGAGTACCAATATTGCTGCAAAAAAGGTCCAGAACCAGGGCTACCAAGCAAAAAAGGTCCTTGGAGAGGTCCTCGAGAAATCTGCGGGCGGAATGTTCCAAGAACTTATTCCTGCTTGATTCAAGTGGACAGTTCAGGACCCAGTCTATCTGAGGTATTGTTTTTAGTAGTAAGCCGGATTGCTTTATGAAAAATGGTGTTACCTCAGAATGACCCACTTGATTTGAGTAGGAAACGGCAAATGATTCGAGTAGAAGCTCGTGCAGAGGCTCAACAAACATCAACTGAAGACTCTACTTGAGTCAAGTCCATAAATCAGTTCGACAAAATCTACTTGGATTGAGCAGATTTCTGGGCTAATTAAATTCTACACATATCAAGTAGAGACTCCAGATTGAATGACGAAGATGGTATTTGGGTGCTTGTGAAAAGTGTGTGAGTAAAGTATTTCTTTACTTCACTCAACTCATGGAATAAAGAAAAAGACGGAAAATGTAAACCGCACTGAATATTAGAAATACTTTCCTTCCGTTAATTCCTCACTTCTGACAAACACGAAACACTACTGAAATGTTTTTCAGGTTCCTGATGGCAAGTATTTTGGAATACTTCCAAGTAATACGATACTTGTCACAAGTTTTGATAATAATGAGGAATTCGGTGGAATGGAAATTTTCAATTGATCCTTTTGCCTAGTAATTTTTTAATTAATCAGGAGTAATGGTTTGTTAGAGTGCGAGATGTGTCGGGTTGAGAGTAGTGTAGTTATTGCAGCCTGTTGGCTTAGACTACATCGAAGGTCGACAAGTTTACTTCTTTGCCTTTATTTCTTCGTCTTGGACTTTTTTTTATATCTTTCCTGCTGACTCCATGGGACCGATTTTTGCGCAAATCACCAAGTGCACCAGGCAGACTCACTGGCGACTTGTTGCGTATGGTGTTGATCTTTCCAAGAGATTTTCATACAAACTTCGTAAAAAAAACGAGTGTTATTCTCCTCTGGAATGATTTCAAGGCATTACCTATTTTGCATAAAACGACCATTTGAAAGACAAATGATTTCGCAGAATTTTCTTCTCTCAACTGCGCAAACAACATTCATGGACTGTAAGTACTGTAACATTCGTAAACTCATCGCTTTTCCGGGAAATTGTACCAGACGCTGCTCTGTTGCAATCATAAAAATGTATTTACATCTTCAGGAAAAATTACATGTCATGTATTATCAGAAGCATCACATGTTCAATTAAATTCAGGATTTAATCGAATTTTAAAATCTCAATTTTTAGCATCAGATAAAAAAATTACAAAATTTCTCATCATAAAAAAATATTCACTTTACTAACAAGCAAAAATATAATTATTTTGTGAAATTCAATTTAGATAATAAAATGACAAATTAGATTTCCACAATTTTTTTCAAATTTCGTTGAAGTGGCACCTGGCATGTCCAAAATTAACATAAATTCCAATTAAAAAAAATTCTAAACTTCATATTTCAGGAAGAAATTTAGAGAAAATACATAAAAATTATAGAATTAAAAAATGTAAAACCGTATATTTCTAGGGTCAATCCGACCCACTATTCATCATAAAACTCAACACTAAGAGAAAAATATTCTAAAAATTGCCGAACGTTTACGTAATCGTGGGGTGACCTTGGTTTTCGGAGCAAAATACTGGGAGTTCCGTAAAAATTGTCCTATAGCGAATAGGAGTTTTTACAAAGCTCTCACGCGAATTTTTACGGTACCTCTTGTACTTTCCCCCGAGAAGCAAGGCCACCTCATAATTACGTAAAAGTTGCGGAATTTTTCGAGTATTTTTTTCTCGGTTTTGAAAAATCGGTAATTTTGACTAAAAGAGAGCAGAACCTGTTCAAAAAATATAACTTGATCTTCAATAGAAATTTTCTAAGAGTTGAGCCTTGAAATGTAGGCAAAGCGGGAAGGTCTCGGAGTTGATCAAGTATTACTGATTCTATCTCATCGGCAATGTCTTTAATTCCTTTACCTCGAATTGCACACATACACGCAAACTCTTAATCTGGATGAAATGACAACCACCGATAGGATGCATACATGCGAGCAGAAACGAGCTTCACTATTCCCAACAAGAAAATAACCAAGCCAAATGGAGAAACAAAATTTAATTGTTCTAGTCCTTCCAGGGATGATCAGTGAAGCATTCACGTCGCAAACCGGTTCACTATTTTTATGAGCAATTAGTTTTATCAAGCCGAAGGAGAAGGAATTCTTGGATTGGAAATTTTTATCCTTCCGTACGAGTGCTCCGTCCGCTTTTCAGTTGATTATACAAAATGGAATCTAAACTTCACTTTACTTAAGCAACTACTTTTAAAATTTCAAGTAATAAAACTTGAATGACGATAAATTTACATGCAATATATTCGCATTCTGTTCAGCAAAAATTAATTAACTACTTGAATATCCAAAGAGAAATATTTCCTTTACTGAAATTTGAAATAATGAAAATTCAAACAACTATTTCCCCAATCTTTAATCCAACTCCAATTAACTTCTATTAACTTTTATTATTTCATCACTTATCAACTGAATGGAACCTTCAAAAATCATTTGCCCTCAAGTCAAATTGGTAAATAAAAAAATCGTTGAAGAATTTAGTTGTTAATATTTGAAAAAACCTCTAACAGGATAAAAGATGTATAAACCTATGGGCCCCATCGATTTATGGATAAATTCGAATTGAATTTATTATTATCGAAGGAACAAGGAAATTGAAGTACCCCGGACCACTTAACAACCATCATGTAATCACTTGTATTTATGCAAGACCTTGGGCCGAGGTTATTGCTCCCCTGGTGTAGCACGAGGCTTAACAATTAAATTAACATAAAATGAAGATAATTGTGGAATCTTTTGTAATTTTTTAGTCAACAGGCTTATTAGTTGTTGTTTTAATGTATCTCAAAAATAATTATTCAGGAAAATAAGCACTTAATAGTAAAATGTAATATAATTTACAGCCATATAGTCAATCAACCTTGATCAATCAATGGATTGTATTGATTAGACGTGGACTCTCTCACTTGGGGCTAGTCGTAGATTAGTTAACGGTCGATTCATTGAATGTTTTTCTTTCTTCTGACGTATATATAATTATTCAACTATGTAATTTGTGATGGCGAATTGTGAACATTCTTGGCCAATAATGGAGATTTTACGACTCGATGATAAGAATGATGAATTATTCCTGCTGTGCGTTGTGTCACACGTGCCTTCAGCAGATCTCATTTATATGTGAAAAAAAAAAACACTTGAAGATAAATTTAACTGAAAAAACAGCGATGATATCAAAAACCTGAATATTTCTCAAAAAACATTGCCTGAAATCCACTGACTTTCCAGCTTAATTCAAGTCATTTTTCCAGCAACAATTATAGATGTTAGAGAAAGAGCCGGGGATTTTGGTAATGAGGCACTTGTCAATTGCAGTAGAAGATTAAGAAGAGGATTGTGAGGTTTTATTTGATTGTGATGAATCATTCCTGCATGCCTGCTCAGTCAGAAGCTATCATCCGTTCC